AGTTTTAAAATTTAGCCTTCTAAAATAGTCAGAAATTTGTGTCTATAGTTTGTTTAAGTGTAAATATATATATAGCCATTAAACTTTATAAGAAATTTTGATTAATATTTTGAATTATCCAGTAGTACCGTGAATAAGATAGTTAAAACCAGAATTTAGTTTACAGTGAATAGGGTGACTGTATACTTTGGTGTTATCTTCTTCGTGTAGCATTAACACAAAGTAGTTTCCCTTAGAAAGTCCTCTACAACCGCTCCCTCAAAAGAACAGATTTCCTTCTTGATTGGTATTTACTTAACTTGTCACAAAATACTTAAAAAAGTACTTTTCTTTTGGAATATTTTGGAAAATACTTTGGATATTGGAGACATCTCTAAAAAACTTAGCTTGATTCAATTGTAATCCGTCTTAGCCTTCAGCTTTTAAAAAAATTATTTCATAGTTGTCTTCATTTTTTGGTCAATAAATCACGCCAGTGGCTTTGTTTTCTCTTCCTTAGCTGGAACTTTTCTTGATTGTTCTGTCTGTTGTTACCGCGCGAGCACATGCTTCACCTTTGTTATTTTTACTTCTGCAACTAAAGAAGAAGGTTCCATTTAAGCTTCGAAACTAGTCCTGCAAAGTTACGCAACTTACGCGCATTCTTATTGCTATGGTACCTTTAATGTATTGTCTGAGTAGTTTTAAAAGCCAATTCTTAAATTTTACTGAGCTGTTGTAGAAAGCTTTTGCAAGAAAATTTTTAAAACTCCATTTGCTAACAGAATATATTTGTGGTATTAAAACACACCGCAATCTCAACAACTGGCAATCTTTAAAATCCCATTTTTAAACTTATTAAATTATTACTTTGCTTATCTAATCCCAAAAATAAACAGAATTATATAAAATAGATCAGATTCTTAGCAGTCAGTTTTCTGCGGAAATAACAGTGGCATTTTTTCTTTCGAGACAATAATGCTTGCAGTTACTACCACCAATGTAAAACTATTGTAATATTTATAGAAAATTCAGATGACTTCTTTTAAGCAAAAATATTAGCAATCAAAAATTAAACTGTTACTTGTGTTCTCACTTTAAATAATTTTCCGAAGTTCAATATAAACTAAAAGTTTTTCATCCCCCTATTCCAGCACTTTTTAAACCTTTTTCATTCACGAAACCTTTTATCATCGAGTTTTTAGCGACCCCAAATATGAAATTAAAAATAAAGATATAAAAGTAAATATTTTTCCATACATAATTTATTGCTTTTGTAAATAATACACATAGAAAAAGAAATGGGTTTAAGATTTGCTTCAAATGTAAAAATTGATGAAAAAATTACGTTTTAATGATACAGGTGTTTTTATTTCTTTCTGCATGGCAAATTAAATCTTGGTGCAGTATATGACACTGATGTATTTAAAGTATCTTTAACGTTTCCATCGTTGAACGATATTTGTTTTTAATAAGCGTCAAAGCTAGAAAAGTCATTTCATATAAGTACGCGTTGCTGAATGGAAGACCATTGAATGCCATTTCAATAAATTATGAGAAATGAAGTTCTAATTCCGATCCAGAATTCAGTCAAAGACTTTGGGGAAACCCAAGTTTCAAATTAGGGTCACTCTATATTTTAACAAGATGATTAATTCCATTAATATCAATTAATCTAATTTCTTTAAAGGTTTATAATGTATTTTCTCCCTCCTTTCCGCATGCCTTCGTGGTGTAATTGGATGCATACGTACTCGAGAGGTTCAGGGTTTGATTCTCGGGGAGGGAATTGCATATTTTTCACTTCTCCTGCTTTAGAAAAACCTAATAATTCTATAAACGGGGAACCCGAACTGAAAGTTGTTGGTTTATGATAATTCACCACCATCGGTATTTGGCGATTGAGTCTCCTAATCCCCACTCGCCTTTTAAAAGGGGGTGGAGTATCTAAGGTAATTTTCTCTCTCCTTCCCACATGCCTTTGTGGTTTGACTGGAAGCATGCTCGACGCGTCTTCGAGGTCGAGGGCTTTGTCAAGTCTCCTGCTTCAAAATTATCGAATGACTGTATAAGTTTTATTGATGTAATATCTTTAAATTCATGTATCCGAATTAAATTTTCGCAAGCCCTATATTTCGCTTTGGGTCTTCATTTAGGGTCGAGATCCTCAGTTTAAGAAACGCTGTTGTATTCTATTTTTTCGGTTGCCTAACAGCTTTACAAGACAGCGCAATATCAAGATAATAATGTTTGGTAACTGTAATATTAATTTACATACTTTTAGATGTTTCAAAATAAGTAGAATATAATATTGTTTGTCTTGAACATGTAAACGTATAAGTACACATGAAACAAGGACCTTTTTTAAAACTAAAAATATTGTGAAATATTCAAAAATGCTATTAAGCACCAAAAATCAGTTATTTATTGCTGTAAAACGCGGAATTTTGTGGTTATGACTAGTAAGGAAGTACTGTTAGCATACGATCAGGAAGAAATGATACTGTATAGGTAAATGGAATACAAAAATATTCACAACTAAAACATTTTTGAAAATTTAAAGCAAGTAAACTTCGGAAAGGTTACGATCGGAGATAAACTTGTTAATTTGATTATTTTTTATTTACTTATTTAGTAATTTTTTCACTTATTTCAAAAGCTTAGCGTGCACCCTCTGCTGGTGCAAAAGACATGTATGTGTCACCGGGAGGATTTATTCAGACGTACTGGAAAGTTGGTTGATGCCACAGAGGACTGAAATATTGGTGTTTTCACTAAGACTATTTTGCAGCTCACTGCCACAGATACTGATATAAATTGCTAGAGCAGTCAGTCAAAATCTACCACAGTGACAGAAACTATTTGTGAGACTAGCTTCATCATTATTTGTTACTAACTTTCATAAGATGCGTTAATGCGGAGGCCACCGCAGTCTTCAGCTTTAACCCAATGTGATTTTTGTTTCTTTGAGCAATTATCTAAAGTACTACTTTTGTACTTTTTTACTTCACTATGAACAATTATCTAAAATACCACTTTTGTAATTTTGTATTTTATTACTCTTGTACTTTTGTACATACTACTTTTGTACATACTTTTGTATTATCTAAAATACTACTTTCGCCGCTGAGCTTCAGCATCTTTGAAAGTTCTTCTCCATCATGATATACGAGACGAGACAGATTATCACATAAATGTCTATCGTAAAGCAAAGCTGGATGTACTGAGCATTTGTAAAATATGTTAAAAGAACTCGCGAGTTTCCTCTGTATCAACGTAAAAAAACTGCTCTCGGTTGCGCCGTTTAATTATTATGAAATTTTAAAATGGTGACAGAATTATGAATAACCCTGTAATAAATCCCAGTAAAATTATAAAAACCCGAAAATCAATTATCCTGATCGATTTTTCACTTTCCTGGGCTAAGTAAAATCATATAAGCTGTTAATTTATTTAAGTGTTTACACTTTTCGTAGGTTTAAACACCGTATTTTCTTTTGCATTTCCTCTCTAGCGGATTCCCCCTTAGATGTTTAGAGCCAGGTTCTGAACATTTTAAAAGTATTGGAGGAAACTTCCCTTTCATCATTGCGTTTAGCGAACGAACTTTCCTAAATTTTAAAATGGAGTCTTTCACGTAGTGATTGCTGTCATTTGACAAACCCTCTCAAACTACCAGCGAACATTTTCCTTTTAACTGCTGAACTTAATACCAGCCTAATACAAAAATCGACCTATCACAGGCAAGTAAACACGAACTGACACCCAATCTGTTATTTTGCTAAATCAGCTGCACATTCACATTCTCTAATTATTTATGGATGATTTTAGGTCTATGGAGAAGCAGAAACAACAGAAAGAACGACCGAGATTCAAGTTACAGAGAAGTAGAAATGAAGACATCTTACTGGGCTATTGTAGTATTAATATTAGTATATATTGTTATTATAATGTAGTCTTCTGAGGGAATAATATTGATGTCAGTTACCTGTAATTTATCCATGGTTGCCTTTTAATTGTTAGGATCGTAGTCTAAACGCGTCCTGCGAAAATGACTCGCATAGTTTTCCCACTCGATTTTCGGAAGATGGAAAATCCACGAGGAACTGGGCTAATGTCGAAAAATAATTTTGTACGTAAATAATATCAAAGAGTAATCCTACAGTGATTTCTTACAGTGAAAGGAATTAAATTATTTTAAACGTGCACGACATATAAATATGCCTATAACACTCGGCAAACTGTTATGAAAATAATTATATTTTATTTTTTCATTTGTAAAATCTTTGCTGGTGTTACAGTAAGCACTAAATTTAATTATCTCATTTGAATTAGAAAAAAATATGTATTTTAATGCACCTAGAAGAACTCTGTTTAAAATCAATCGGGATATTTTGGTTTATAATAAAGAAAGAGTGATTTTCATTGGTTTTAAATATATTTTATTTTTCGGTGCACCATATGCCCAATAATATTCCATTTATTATTTCATTTTTGATCCTAATCATTGATTACACGCGCATACATTTATACAAAATGCTCCTGCTTTTAAGCTAAATGTCAGTAAAGACTACACACACGGCTCAGTAAATAGAAAAAAATCTTCTGAAATAATCTGAATTTAGTAGATCATTTTAGATATAAAGGTGTACTGTATGTAGACGTAATCACACTATGAAAAGAGATATAGAATTAGCTATAATAACAGTCAAAATGTGGCCTTTGGTTGTCCGACGAAGTGCATTTACATAATTTTTACATTTGCTTGTCACTAATGCTCGTAAAAGTTTACAATTAACTGTATTATTTCAGAGATAACGAGTTCTTGTTTGAAAGATGCTATATTGCTATCCCTTTATAGGGCGTTCAGCTATTTACAAATTTATTATGCAGTTACTGCTAAGCTACTGTGCACATGAAGAGAAATAAAGTAACCTGTACAAATTTGATTGAAGATGAACAAAAATATTTTTCGTCAATATTTCCCTTTGGAAACATTCATGAGAAAATCTGGATATCCGTTTCGTATCAAAAACATTTTCAAGTATTTATTCAAATAAATTCATAAATACAGTCGTGAAATAACACACATTATACGACAGTACAAATGCTTCTTGATAACATATTGTACAAATTATGAAAAGAAACATCAAGGCATAATATGGGAAACAATTAGAGTGATTCTAAACGTTATGGGCATATGTATGATACATAGAATAGTTTCATAGATTCTTTCTCATCCTTTTTAATGTAGGCTTTATTATTTAATTGAATTGTTCCAAACAGTTCAGTCAAATTGCTTTAGAGAATATTTCAACATCAAATTAAATTGGTTTAGAATTTCTTTCGTGAATTATTAATAACTAGAAAGTTTATTTATTTCATAGAGTATATTTAAAGTTTAATGCAATATAATTTGTTCCATTTAATGATTTTCTTTTTTTTCCCATTTTCTTTTTAACAAGAATAGAGTACAAAATAATATTTTTTCTACGTATTGGAATTTTCATTAATATCTTGAACAAATGAATGCTGATCGTAGCTGTAAGAAAAAGATTCGTCGTAGAGAGAAAAGATTCATTTCTCCTTTTTTAAATAAAACATTTTCATGATATCAGACAAACAAAAAAGGTGAACTTTGTAAATTACAAATGGGTTTACTTATGCTTTAAAAAATCATAACTATGTTTTTTTTTAATTTTGTGTGAGTTCCAAAAGGAATTCTATGCATTTTCTTTTAATTCAATAAAATTTTATTTAGGAATTCTGTTTGAATTTTTATTTTCTAAAACTTGGATTCAATCTCAATAATCTAAGAAAAAAGAATGGCTCGATTTCGTTAAAAAAATAATCTCATTATTTTAAATAATTGGGAGAAAATATCTTGCTGTGAATAAAATAACAGGAATGTCATTTAACTCACAGTAAACTTATATCGGCAGGAAAAATCGCGAAAAAGTAGCACAGTGCTTGTCGACGTGTACGGTTTTTTAAGGAGGATAAATAAAACTCCTCATCAAAAACTTTATAGATTACAGTTATTAAAACTGTTATTATTGAGTTCTCTGTTGTTTACACCATTACACCATTTTTGATGTCACATCAGTCCTTTATTTTCTCAGTGAAAATTTAGTGTCAATTCTTGTTTGATCTCAGTAACGAAAGGAAAGTTGATGAAACACGTTGAACTGTTCCCTTCTTTTTCAGGCATACTCGTAGTGATCCTTTTCTGATGCAGGAAAACAAACACCGTAGTTTTTCTCACTAGAAGTTCAGATATGCCGCTCATCAAAATCTGCACGGAAGAAAAATAAAATGACATTAAAGTGTAGAATTTAATAATTCCAATAACAGATAACAGAATATAAGCTTTAAGAAATTTGAATTATAACGAATGAAAATTCAGAGTGCAGTCCAGCTATATAAGCTATAATTTTTCAGCCAAATTACAAAACTTGTCATGTGTGCGCAACTTGTAATAATTGTACTTGCCGGTTAGAAAGCATTAACATATTTACTGCAGAACAAATGTACCTCCGGACTAACATAGTGCAAACGGAATTAAAGTGCAGTGATATACTTCGAACAGCTTGGGCTTCTTTGATCAGGAACGGATCCTGTCACGTTTGCAACATTTGTAGTTTCAGATTTCTTATCACTTGATTCCGTTGTTGTCACTTGTAGGTGACTTAGCAAAAAATGTAATAACATTTTAAATGCACTTTGCTTTATAATTCTTTTGCGCGAAATTTTTATATTTAAAAATATATGTTGTTTTATTCGATAATGTTAACACTATCATTCATTGCTAGCGCTTCTATGCTTATGTGCATGATTCGAATACTTTAGTGAAGCAAATGAAATATTACACATTATCAATTCGACGGTACTGTAAAAGATTATGAACCGTGATATAATGTTAATTAAACGCTAGGTGATCTATTTCAGCCTTAAAGCCGAAGCTGATTACTATGCTATAAGGCTGAAAATATTAAAAGAATTTCTTAAGAAACGGCACACAAACTTAAATCATCGGATTTTTATCATCGTTAAGTGAAATGAATCGTTTATGCTCAATGCTTTACTTTTCTTCATAATAACAAGGCTTAGGCCCTCCTCTTCGCCTGCTTTCGCGGGGTAACTAGAAGCACGTCCGACGCGTAATCGGTAGGTACAGAGCTCTAATCCCGTAGAGAGCACTGCATATTTTTCAAGTTTTCTGCACCGATAAACCTAATTGCTACAAAATCTTACTGTTCCTAAATAAAGAAAAATCTCTGTTGGCTTATTTTCCCCAAAATGTAACTTCTTTTAAAACGAATACATCCAGAAACAGAATAACGCACTTTAACCTTGAACAATCTAAGTTTGAGCTGCGTACTTATATGCTAATTTTCTTCAATAAAATCTATTTATTCAATCAATATTTTTTGAAGATTCGCTGGCAGCATGTCGCAACTCTCTCAAAATCTGCTTACGCACACAGGGGCAGAAATTCTCTTTGATGATAATAAATGGATCTCTTTTTATCCCAGTTTTTTAAATTCGATCAAGACTTGTCTATTCTGGCAACACTTTTCCATTTTTTAGGGATAAATACTTCTCATAAAGAATTCTGCTGCGCATTCTGCGTTCGGCGATATGTCATAGAGAAAGACGATGGCACATTATGTTTTTTCGCCTTTTAAAGATTCAAATCAGCATTAATCATTTTGTTTACAGTTGACACTAAGCATTTTAATGATTTTGCAACTGTCCTTTGGCTTGGGGGATTTTCTGTTAAAGATGCTACCTTTGCAGCATTCCACGCATTCCGTTTTTTTTTCCTTGAATACATATTTAGAACAATTTTTCCATTTGAAGCCAAACCTTGAACCATTTCTTGTCGGCAATATTACCTGTTGTAGGTTTATATATTGTAAAACCATAGCTTTTACAGCGTTTCTTAATAACTAGATAGCAATATTTTTCTTCGGAAAGAGCACAAATATAATCCATCCATTGCTTCGTTAAAAGTGCCATTTTGCACGAAAACAAAACTGTCAAGTAGCTGGCGAAAATTTATACCTTCAAAAATATAGTTGCAGCCAAAAAAATCCAGATGACTTTTTATCGCAAAGCAAAATCCTCTAAAATATGTGCGAACAGCGTATGTAATTGATGATCTGCAATTTATTAATGTATTTTTATACGTTTTGGAAATTTTATTCATTTTGTTGACTGAAATATGGCATCACAAAACTGGTTCAGTATATATTTAAAATACGAAAAGTAACTGCACTTACAGTTAATTGTTACAGAATGAGAAAAAAAACGGATGACAAACTATCGAAATGACGAATGGTGAAAATATCCCTGAACATACACATCCCTTCATTCAAAAATTCTCATATGTTACAGGTTGTATTATATTATCTAATTGAGCAAATTTGGTCTATTATACAGTTCTAACGATAATAAAACGTTTTATTCTAGCTTGACCTTAATGGCTAAAAAAATTAATGTTTAGTTACTAATTAGTTTAGATGCATTAAAAAAGTTTTTGCAGATACACACACACACACACACACACACACACATATATATATATATATATATATCGTTTCTTAAGCGATAAGAAAAGTTTTTCACTTTTTGAATAATAGTTGAATGCATTTTATAGCAAAAGAGATAAAAAGAAATAATAATAATTAAGAAAACTAACTACATACATTTTACTGTTCGCAGGTCTTATATGTTCATATTTCTACAAAATTCATTTTAAAATGTTTCCTTTTTAAAAAATTTTTTTTTTAACTTTTAATCATCGCAACAGTAAAAAAAAAAACTAATTAAATTTATAAAAATGATAACTTACAGTATATTTTAAAACAATGCTTTGTAAATTTGTAAATTACATAAATTTAATAATTCGAGATATATGTTTGACTGTAGTTTTTTACGGATTTATTAATATTATTTTTCACGAAAGAAATCTCATTATAGTATCATGGTCATCTTTTAACTAATTTCATTAATAGGCTCCAGAACATAAGTGTTAGCGAAAAACCTCTCCATAAAAAATTAATAACGAGTGTTTGGTTATCAACCGTGATATGTTAAAGCGTCGTTAAAACTTCAGAAATTTAGAGCATATTTGGGATTAAACTGAAACACTATGTTGAAAAACGCTAATTAAATAATTCAAATTCATTTTTTTCAAACATATTTTGAAACATCACGCAAACATATTTTGGCCTTGATGCACTGATTTATCAGCACTATTTTGCAACTAAATTAAAAAGCTTTATTGTAATAATCATTCATTTTGATGATAAGAAATAATTTATATAAGAGCTTGCTATTTCTTCTTTTATTAAAAGAATCCTGAATGTATTAATTTTAAAATTAAAAAAATGAACTATTTTATTTGAAATTAAGATGTTTATGGAAATTACGTATATCCTTTGTTATGCGCTAAGCGAAATACTTGCATTGCACAGTATTGAAAGGGTATGTTAATGCCTTCGACCTTCGATGTACATCGTATGTCCTTGCTCGTTTACTTCATGGTCATCATTAACATTTTCAGCATGTTAACAATCCTCATGGTCATAACGAGAACACTGACTTACTAAGATAGATATCAACATCCGTCATAAATCTAACCTTGGCTCATGATAAGCGTTGCTGTAAAGATATAACACAAATACAATTCAAAAAGCATGATAATTACTAAGATACATTTAAATTATTCTTTTTAAAAAGCTACACACATGTCAAATATTAGAAACAAATAAAAAATAAAAGTTAATATAATTGCTGAAGCTCTTACAAATAAAAAAAAAATCAGATGTGAACCTCAAATAACTTCCTCGTACATCTATTAAATTATTCCTATTTCTTGCTATACTTCATTTAAACTTATTTCCTAGAATTACTAATTATTAATTAATTTGCAAGAAATGTGCCTTTAATTAATTAACCGATCCCTCAAAGCAAGTTGAAGACGTTAATAAAAATTGCAAATTTTGAAATTAAATGTTCCACTCGTTTTTTTCTCGTACAGGTGTCAAATTTCTTGTATTTTAGTTTGTTCATAAAAAATTATTAATAATAAATAAAATTTTTCGAAACATACGTAGAGGAACCGGGAGATTCCATGAAAGCTTATATTCTGTTATTTGTCCAAAAAAAATTTTTTTAATTCAATATTGCCAAAACACGTATGTACACACGAAAATATTTTCGTTATTTAAAACACTTTTGTAATCGGAAGTATATATCTACTGTTCCTGTCTAGGAAAATAAAGCCGGATAAGAACTTTAAAGCTTGGTTAAGGGGTGCGTATTTATATATATATACATATATGTAAGGTAAAAGAAAACTACGAGTTGTACATTAAATTAACAATATCCCCTTAATTCCTCTTTTTAATTTGGGCAATTTTCCCTCTCTTATCTAAAAATAATAATTCCTTTTTCGAAACTGAGTCATATCTAAAAATTATTTCCGCATTATGCAATCTTAACCTTCCGCACTGAGTATAATTTTCAGCCAATCAGATTAAAGAAAAATTTTACTACAAATACCGCTGCAATCAAACTACGCTCTTTCTTTCTATGCTTGCTCGGGCTTGATTAACCCACATCTGTTCTCCGCTCTTCAGTATTTTCCTTTGTTTTAAAATGTAACTGTGCGTATGAAATTATGGGACGAGTTTAGCACCTATAATGTTGTACGAATTAAGAAGATGTATGCTATGAAATTCGTCGTCCAAAAGAAAAAATTATGTTTTAAAAATGAAACCAGTTGTGATTTTTCCTCCAGTTATTTACGATGCAGCAACTTTCAGTTATCTGCTATCTGCGTCCCCACCACGAATGCTACGCAACTGGTTTCATCTCACTTTTAAATCAAACAGAATAACTTATTAAATGCTAATTTTCTGTACTTTTCAAATTTGTCCTTAACTGGTATTTTGATTAAGCTTTGTTTCTTGGATGGAAAAAACGACAAAACACTTATATTAATTATTGTTAAATATCCAAAATTGGGTTTTTCATTTGATAAGTCAATTAATTTCTGTTTAATAATAATAATTGCTTCTTTTTTATCTGCACTATAGTTTCACATATTTTATAAATTTACTAATTTAAAAAAATGCTTATTTCCGATTTTTAATTATATTGCTGGCATATTTTACTACAACAGAATTCTAATTAGCTTTTAATCAAGTTTCTTAAATTTTATTTTCCTAGGAGAGGATTATAGAAAACTCTTCTAATATAGAATACATATTCCTATTCGTCAAA